CAACCACTGCAACACACACACACACACACACACACTGCAACACACACACTCACACTCACACACACACATATACACATCATTTGCTGATATTAGAAATCTATTGTTTCGAACTCGATCTGCAGCTGAGAGTTTTGCATCACAAAAAACAGGAATTGAAGTATTAAGAGTAGATATGATGGGTTACAGTTTAGTACTTTTGAAACATGAATATGATATCTAAAACAATATACAGAGATATCTGATTTTAATATCAGCCTAATCAGGGCAAAGTGGATTATTATATAAGCACTAAGTTGGCCAATGCCAATAAAGTCACATATAAAATGTAGAACCAAAAATGTGTATCTAACAAAAATACACTACTGTTCAAAAGTTTGATGTTTGTTTCAAGAAATTAATAATTTTATTCATCAAGGATGCATTAAATTGCTCAAAAGTGTCAGTAAAGACATTTATAATGTTATGAAAGATTATGAATGGTTATGAATGTTTCAAATAAATGCTGTTCTTCTGAACTTTCTATTCATCTGTGAATCCTGAAAAATAAAATGCATCACACTTTCCACAAAATATATTGGGCAGCACAACTGTTTTCAACATTGATAATAATCAGAAATGTTTCTTGAGCAGCAAATCAGCATATTAGAATGATTTCTGAAGATCATGTGACACTGAAGACTGCAGTAATGATGCTGAAAATACAGCTGCGCATCACAGAAATACATTACAGTTTAACAGATACTCACATAGAAAACAGCTGTTTTAAATTGTAATAATATTTCACAATTTTTTCTGCATTTTTAATCAAAAGAATGCAGCCTTGGTGAGCAGAAGACACTTTAAAAAACATTACAAAAAAAATTCCTACCAAACCCAAATTGTACTTTACATTAGAAAAAAAAAGCAAGTTTAATTTTATATCGCATAAGTAATTAGAAATGTGTTTAATTAGTTAGAATGTTTTAATAAGAAAAGAAAAGAAAATAATTTATATAATAATTATTCAAAACAAATGACTAAATAAAAATAATAAATTTTCTCAAGTGCTCTCAGGCATTTGAAGAACATAAACACACTCTTATAAACTGTAAATGGCTCACGGGCGTCTGTGTGGTTGTGTTTTGACAGCTGGAGAATCACTTCAATCCAAACTGTTCGTTCTGGAATTACTCTGAGCGCTCGATGACGGGTCAGTGGTCGTCGCATGGCTGCAGACGTCTGCACAGCAACAACACGCACACCACCTGCGCCTGCTCGCATCTCACCAACTTCGCCGTGCTCATGAGCCACCAGCAGCCCGCCGTGAGTCTCAAACACTCACACGCACGTTTAACCCTTCACACGCCGCGCCTCAGTCATTCACGCTCTGTTGTTCTCTCGGTGCCAGTATCCCGGTGGCGTTCAGGGTCTGATCCTGTTCATCATCACGTGGGTGGGGATGGTGATCTCTCTGGTGTGTCTGGCTCTGTGTATCTCCACCTTCTGCTGCCTGCGAGGCCTTCAGAGTGACCGCACCACCATCCACAAGAACCTGTGCCTCACGCTCTTCATCTCACAGCTCCTCTTCCTCATCGGCATGGACAAGACACACTATACCGTGAGTTCATGAGGGCCAGACTTCATCAGAGCAAACCAGACCACGCCAGACTGCATCAGAGTTAACCAGACCACATTAGACTAAACCAGACCAAGGAGCAAAATACGTTTATTTTAATTGAACAATTGTAAAATTGCGGTGCTCTTTCCGTGTGTGTCAGCTGTGGGGCTAGTCCGATGGCAGTTCTTCCAATTGTCTTCTAACCTAAAACAACAAAATGAATACATTCAGTAGTGTTATGATTTTATTTGTCTAGGTGTATCGTTTGTTCATTGAAGAAAGATTCGTAAAGACTGTTGAAAATTTGGATTCTGACCAAGCGGTCAGAAATTTTGCGCACATTTGTAGATACATTTTGCCACATCAGTGTGCATTTTACTATTTGGAAATTAAGTATTTAAGTTAAGACCAAACCACATCAAACCAAACAGGACTGTATCCAACTAAACCAGGCCATATTAGAGTAAACCAGGCTATGTCAGACCGCATTCACCTAAACCAGACCACATCAGACCTAACAAGAAGACTATCAGATTAAATCAAATCTTATTAGAACATCCAGACCACACCATTAGAGTAAACTATAGGCTACATCAGACTAAACCAGACACACATCAGACCAAACAAGACTAATCAGACTAGACCAAACCTAATCAGACCAAACAGTCAACCTAAATCAGACCACACCAGATCACATCACATCAGAGTAAACCAGACTACAGCAGACTGAATTAGATGAAACATCATCAGACCTAACACGAATTTATCAGACTAAACCAGAACACACCAGATCACATTAAAGTAAACCAGGCTATATCAGACCGCATTCACCTAAACCAGACCATATCAGACCAAGCAAGACTTTATCAGATTAAACCAAACCTCATCAGACCATCCAGACCACACCATTAGAGTAAACTAGGCTACATCAGACCAAACAAGACTTTATCAGACTAAACCAAACCTTACCAGACCAAACAGTCAACCTAAATCAGATCACATCAGAGTAAACCAGGCTACATCAGACCACATTAGACTAAACCGGACACGCATCAGACTAAACCAAACCTTACCAGACCAAACAGTCAACCTAAATCAGATCACTTCAGAGTAAACCAGGCTACATCAGACTGAATTAGATGAAACATCATCAGACCTAACAAGACTTTATCCGACTAAACCAGACCACCTCAGCAGTGAAGTGCTCATGCGTCAGGTGTATGCGTGTGTGTGCGTGCTTGCGTGCGTGTGTATGTGTGTGTGTGCAGGTGGTGTGTCCGGTTCTGGCCGGTCTGCTGCACTTCTTCCTGCTGTCTGTGTTCTGCTGGCTCTGCATGGAGACGGTGCAGCTGTATGTGCTGATGGTGGAGGTGTTTGAAAGTGAGACGTCTCGTCGTAAGTACTACTACCTCTCCGCGTACGGCTTCCCCACACTGGTGGTGGCCATTTCCACAGCCATCGACTACAGGAGCTACGGAGGACCCAAAGCGTGAGTGTGTTTCCGTCTGCAGGACTCATAGGAGGGATAGGTGTGTTTGTGTGTGTGTCATTTCTCTCTTGTTTTGTGTAGTTGCTGGTTGAGGGTTGATAACTACTTCATCTGGACGTTTATTGGCCCCGCTTCCCTCGTTATTCTGGTAAGATTAATTTACTTATTTATTTATAAGCCATTATAAACCATTTTTTTAATAAAAATAATTATTTATTTATTTATAAGTGTATTAAGATGAACTGTTATATACTGGTAAAACATGTATAGCCTGAGTGCACTGTAAGTCGCTTTGGATAAAAGCGTCTGCTAAATGCATAAAATATTAATTAATTATTAAATTATATATGTACGAGCAGAACACATTCTGAGTACTATTGCATATCTCACAATGCAGTGTGCTCAACTAGACCCTCGATTCCCAGCAAGAATGTTTTGACTAAAATTACTAAAAATGCCAAATAACTTTATTTGTGAGGGGATAAATGGACACTTGCTATCTTGTGAGTGTTTTCTGCTCTCTTAAGAGCCGTCTGACCTTTGAGCTCTTGTGTTTAGCTGAACCTGGCAGTGCTGGTCATCACCATCCACCGCATGCTGCGCCACTCCACCGTCCTGAAGCCAGACTCCAGCCGATTCGACAACATCAAGTGAGAATGCAGGGGTCAGGGGTCACACGGGGTTTGTCCTGTAGCCTCGGCTACAGCACATACTATTTACAGGAAATCTGTTGCTGTGAGTGACGGATTGCTGTTGATTTCCTGCTGTCTGACACCGAGTCGAGTTTCCTGTGCTCAGCTTGTGGAGTCGCTTCTCATGCAGAGTGTTTCAAATCATCACAATTATTGCAAACTTGCATAGTGTTTCTTATTTCTGCAGGTGTTATAGCAGAAACTCAACTGATTTAAGTGAATACTAAATGCACAGATAATATTTACAGATTATTGACGAAAAACATAAAATAATAATAATAATAATAAAAACTGTGAAATCCTGATGGGACTGGACATTTTTGAAGATATCTGTTTAGAGGAATGTTAATTTCATGCACTCAAACTGACCAAAAAAAAAAAGACCAAACTGTTTAAGATGTATTTATTGTTTAAATTGCCTGTTTGTTTGTTTGTTTGTTTGTTTGTTTATTTATTTATTCAAATGCAGATGACACTTTGATTTTAGCCTTATTTAGAATTAGCTTTTGTTTTTATTTTTTAGATTATATTTGTTTTTAGATTTTTCGCTTTCTTTTTAGTTAAAGTTTTATTAATTTCATTGTGTTTTACGTTTTTTTATTAGTTTTTTTAAACATGCATTTAGTTTTTATTCATTTTTATGTTTCATGTTTTAGTTGTAGCTATTTTAATTTAATAGGTGTTTTATTAGTTTTTGTTTATTTTAAGCATATCTGTTTAGTTTGTTTTAGTTGTAGTTCTTTTCATCTAATCAGCGTTTCATTCGTTTCAGGTTTTTTTTAAGCGCGTCTATTTAGCTTTTATTCATTTTTATTTGTTTTAGCTGTAGTCATTTAATTTAACAGGTGATTTTATTAGCTTTTGTTTTTTTTTTTAAATGATTTAGTTTTTATTATTTTTATTTTAGTTTCACGTGTAGTAATTTTATCTTAATAGGCATTTTTATTCGTTTTTTTTAACATGTCTGTTTAGTTTTTATTAATTTCTTTTACAGTAGTAATTTCATGAAAATTAGACATGTTGCCTTAGCAACTAACTAAAATGAAATGAAGTGTAAGTTTTTGTAATCTGTTTTATTTCTGTCAGTGTTAAGTGTATGCAGTTTACAAATGTTTTTCCAGTGTTTTTAGTCTTAGTTTGGTAACGGTGTGTGTGTGTGTGTGTGTGTGTGTGTGTTGAGGCGCCGGACGCTCAGCTCTATCACGCTGCTGTTACATTCACTGCAGAGGATCCATTGCTGAGCAAGTGATGTAATGCTACATTTCTCCAAATCTGATGAAAAGATGAAAGAGATCCGCACTCGTCCAGATTCAGCTCAAAAGGCTTATTTCATTTATTGCTCAGAGGTCACAAAAATATGTGCAAAAAAGTTTTGCACTTTTTTGCACATATTTTTGTGATCTCTGAGCAATAAATGAAATAAGCCTTTTGGGCTGAATCTGGACGAGTGCGGATCTCTTTCATCTTTGTATCATTGTATTTTTTGGATCTTATGTTATTTGCCTATTGGATTTTTGGATGAGTGTTTGGCGCTACGACCTTTTCTATTTGTGGATACATTTTCATATTTTAAAATTGTAATATATTTAATAAATAATTATAACAAAAATATTAGCAATAAAAAAGTATATAAAATATATATATTAAAAAACACTTAATCCTCTGTCAGGATACATTGTTGCTTTCTTTTATATGGACATTTCATATACATTTTTTTCCCCACAAAGTACACAATTTTTTTTTTGTTTTGTTAGAATGTTTTCCCTGAAATTCACACCCTAAGAGCACCATTTTCCGAGAGCGACCCATATCAACTCACACAGCTGTAATGTATCCCTGCACCTGTGTAAGGATCGTGCTGTTTCTCCTCAGGCACTATGGGTAATCACCTCCTAGCCAATCCAATGCTACAGACCCGCTCTGGCTCCTCCCCTTACAACACCCTATTGGCTGAAACATTCAACCCCCCCTCACCAGCAGTTTTCAACGCCACTGGTCAGTGTGTGTCATAAAAAGCACTGTTTTGTGTGTTTTAGATGTGTGTATCTGTATTCACTTGTTTTCCCCGTGTTTCTCCTCTCTTCTGTCCTGCTCTCTCTGTTCTGTCTCTTTATGAATTGATTTACAGGCACGTTCAGAAACTCAAGTATGGACACGTGTTCTCACTCTCTGTCTGTCTGTGTTTCTTTCATTTCCATGCTGCTCCTTCATTTTCACCTCCCTGCTGTGTCTATTCAGTTATTCAAATCAAGCATGACATTAAACATAAATGCTAATGTCTCATTTATACAGTATCACATTTACGTCACAATGACTGGATCAGACATCAGATTTTCCAATGCTTAAGATGTCCGTTTCTACAGAACTGGATTAATAACATGAATAAAAGGGACATCTGGGGGCTATTAAATAAAGTTAGCAGAACTGGGGGACTCTGTCCAGTGTTGGGTTTGGAATGACACGAGGGTGCAAATGATGACAAATCGTTAATTTTAAAGTTATTCCCATTTACTGTGAGCAAACTGGCAAGACGTATCAGGAGGATGTGGAACGACACTGTTCGACGGCAGACAGAATCGTCCTTCATGGCAGCTGAGATCAACAACACACCCACACTCACCCGAGGTGAAATACACACACACACACACACACACACATCCAGAGTTAAACATCCCTGTTAATCACAATTTCATCTTAATTAGTTATACAGAAATATCTACATTGTGCTTTTGTCAAAATTTTAAATATTACTAAATAAAGCAATGTAAAAAATTATATTATTTAAAAAAAAAGATTGAAATAAATGTAAATGTAAATAATTTTCGGTGTGTTATACATAATTAATAGATTAATTTACTTAAGAAATTTATAATACATAGAAAAATATTTTAAAAAGTGGACTTTATTTAAAAAAACAATCAAATTAAATAATAAAAATTAATAATAAAAAAATGTTAGTAATAACCAAGAATAAAAATTTTCTAATAATAATGTATAAACAAATATGAATAAAAACATTTGAATAAAAAATTGGGAAATTTGACCATTTATTTAAAAAAAATAAATGAAAAAAAAGAATTTTTATAGTAATTTTTTATGAATGTATCCCTGCACCTGTGTAAGGATCGTGCTGTTTCTCCTCAGGCACTATGGGTAATCACCTCCTAGCCAATCCAATGCTACAGACCCGCTCTGGCTCCTCCCCTTACAACACCCTATTGGCTGAAACATTCAACCCCCCCTCACCAGCAGTTTTCAACGCCACTGGTCAGTGTGTGTCATAAAAAGCACTGTTTTGTGTGTTTTAGATGTGTGTATCTGTATTCACTTGTTTTCCCCGTGTTTCTCCTCTCTTCTGTCCTGCTCTCTCTGTTCTGTCTCTTTATGAATTGATTTACAGGCACGTTCAGAAACTCAAGTATGGACACGTGTTCTCACTCTCTGTCTGTCTGTGTTTCTTTCATTTCCATGCTGCTCCTTCATTTTCACCTCCCTGCTGTGTCTATTCAGTTATTCAAATCAAGCATGACATTAAACATAAATGCTAATGTCTCATTTATACAGTATCACATTTACGTCACAATGACTGGATCAGACATCAGATTTTCCAATGCTTAAGATGTCCGTTTCTACAGAACTGGATTAATAACATGAATAAAAGGGACATCTGGGGGCTATTAAATAAAGTTAGCAGAACTGGGGGACTCTGTCCAGTGTTGGGTTTGGAATGACACGAGGGTGCAAATGATGACAAATCGTTAATTTTAAAGTTATTCCCATTTACTGTGAGCAAACTGGCAAGAGGCATGACAGACTCGGTGTTTTTGTGGAAAGAGTGAATTTTCATGTTCATCACATGCACGAGAGAACATAAAAGCCAAAAGCATCACTATATGCACACATTCATGCATATGCAGTGCCTGAAACCACTCGCTCACTCAGAATCAATTACATATCAATGCCACATTCACTAAAAAGTGTCACCTTCTGAAAAATAAAATGGCCTTGAAATCCAGTTTGGCTTTTTAAACTGAAACATTTCCAGATGGATCTGAATTCAAATTTTAGCTGTTCAAACTACAAGCATTTAATTCAGCTGCTGTTTAATTGCGCATTTCTCTCTCTGTACTGTAGAGGGCACACTATCGCGCAGCCGTGAGTCGTGTGGGCTGGAGGGAGTCCGGCATAACGGAAATTACAACAACAGCTACTCGCTTCACGGCGGGAGTTCGGATCTGCTGGGGGGCGTTCCTGTGGGATCCGGGGGCGTGTCCGGAGAAGTCAGCCCCGCCCTTTTGACGCCAAGAGGGGCAGAGTCTGCTGGCTGTTTGAGGCGGAACCTTTCCGACGCGGCGGCATTGGAGAAGATGATCATATCCGAGCTGGTTCAGAGCAACCTGCGGCCTTCCACCGATCGCTACGGCAATGGACCGAATTCCACGATGCACCGGCAGGACTACACCACGTCGACAAGTCACCGAGAGCCTCCGCAACGGCCCTTGCCCCGCCCACCTCCGCCGCCTCCGCAGGACGAGGAGGAGCTGCTGTACAAAGCGCTGGAAAAGCCACGCCTTCCAGACAAGCCCCGCCTACCCGATAAACCCCGCCTGCCGGATAAGCCCCGCCTCCTGGAGCACGCCCAGTCTGTGTTCTACCAGAGCGAGGAGGACTCGGAGAGCTTCTCGGCCGAAATCACGGACGGTGTGGGCGGGGCCGGACCGGACTCTGCCTCCCTGTACGCGCGGGATCGTGATTCGTCTTATCCCGACAGCAGTCCCGAGGCACTGGGGGCGGAGCCTCATCCCACCCTTCCACCGGATGAGCTGTACTTCAGCGCAGGACGCCAAGCGCACATCTCGGCCTTTTACCAGCCTCCGCCTCGCAGGACCAACGACGAGGCTCGGCCGGGACTGCAGCCCTCGCAGGGTGAAGGCGACGGACAGATGCAACTGGTGACGAGTCTGTGACTAGGGCGCTGGTGACCAGGACACGTAGATCTGGAGGAGGACAATGAGGGTGGACGTCTTCAGCATCACCATCATCATCATCGCAATTAGCGTCTGGGCGAATCTCATGCGTCTGGTTTGTAGGTCACCCCAAAATCTCAAGTAGGACTTGATCTGAGTTCTGATTTCACTTGTTTTTGTAGTGAAATATGAGCCGGACGTGTTTCCGTGAGATTCTCGCATTAGTATGAAGCTACTTTCAGTGTATCGTGTGTCCTGGGATCTCCCAGAAGGAGCGGTGCGCTGAAAGCCTTGGGAGATTACTGTTGAGATGATGATGATGATGATGATGGCAATGCTGGCTTCCTCCTCCACGTCTCTGTCTCCTGGTCACCCGAACACCCACCCTGCTCATCTCACTGCCATCCAAGCACATCTGTTTGTCCTTTCTGAGAAGAAATCTTCTTATCGGGTAGTTTTTCCTCCATTCGTCCATCCTCCATCTCTTCCCTGCTGAGAAAACCAGTTTAAACCATCCTGAGGTGGATATCTGGTCTCCTGGCCTGGCCCAACTGGTCCGTTTTGCTGGTTTTGGGTGGGAGACCATCTGAAAACCACCTTAGGCTGGTTGAAGCTGGTTTTCCAGTGGGATTTCTTTCATTCAGGGTGGTGTGGTGTATGAGTGTCAGACCTTTATCAGAATGTGATAACACTTACACCAGAGACCGCAGCTCTTATACATGCCAAAAAAAGAAAAAAATCACACATTTACACTCTTGGGGAGCAGCTACTGTCGGGATCACGCTCTCACCATCATAGAGGTCAAAGGTTAAGAGTCACAGGTTCAACATGTCAAGCAAATCAACTAGACTGTTGTTTTTGAGCAGCGTGGTGGATAAAAGAACAAAAACTTGCTTTTGTGCAACCTGTCTGGACGCAACCCAATCATCTGCTTTAGTGTTCAAAACACTGACCAATCATGTTGTTGGGTTTGGAGAACGCTGACAATGCTCCGCCCCCTTCCTGTGTTTAAGTAGGTTGATCGAGGACGTGACGTTTAACGGTGGGCTTTTAACAGCAACTTCCTGTAAATAAGAACTGAGAGACATAATGTCTCTGGACATGCTTCTCTTTCACTTACGAGTTTATGGTTGAAAAAAGTCTTAAAGAATATGTAGATGAACTGATGACACTGTCTCCTCTTTCGGTCTTTTTCTCACTGTGTCTCTTTCGGTCTTTCTCTCTCTCTGAGAGTGGTTCATGTAAAAAGATAAGAAATGTTTTTTAATCAAAATAAAACAGACAAAAGCAAACAGATGTTGTCCAAACTTTTCCTCAGCTAATCTGCCTAAATGTCTCATTCAAGATCTCTGATGAGCACTGTGTTGACCGGGAGGTCAAGGTTCAGCTGGTGAACAGGTAGACAGCATCTTGAGCATCTACGATGAAGCATTACATTTTGCAGCCCTTCTAATGTTTGGCTGCAAAGGTTGTGTTAAAATTTGGCTTAAGAAAATTATTTAAAAAAAACCGGTCCCAATTATAGATGCCTAATGTGATTCAGCCTTACATAGCTGGTAACCAATCAGATTTTAGGACAAGATTTAGAGTTACGCTGAGCAGGGATGTGATTTTTCCATATTTATATTGATTTCTGTATTTTCTGACTTTTTATATAGATTTCTGTATTTTCTGACCTAAAGTATGAATTGCGTAAATCCAAGGAAAATCAAATCAAATGTGTTATCAGAACTGTGTATAACTCTGTTTTGTTCAACAGAAACGTTGAAAGCTAAGAAATTAAAACATAAATATTAGTAGTCAGATTATTGTTGTTCTATAAATTTATTATTAAATACTATTTTTTATTTTCCAGTGCAATACTATTAACGATTTAATTTTATAATTTAAATAAAATTCAAATTTAATTCTTATAATAATATAAACATTTTAATAAAAAATAAAAATAATAATTATGATGATGATGGGTTTCTTTCTTTGTTTAGTCAGCTGATCACATGCCTGGTTAGGTACCCAGTGCTGCATTATCATCAGCAGCAACATTTGTTATCAGTTGGGGTTTGTGTTTTAACGCTGAGGTGACGTGTGTGTGTGTGTGTGTGTGTGTGTGTGTGTGTGTGTGAGTGAGTGAGAGTGTGTGCGTGTGTG